TTTCTTATCTGTTTCCAGAGCTTTGCGCAGCCAGCCTGTGATGTTTGACTGGAGAGAATTGGAAAACAAGAAAGAGCTGCTGAACTGACAATGTTTGGTCATGCACAGCATTTCAAAAGGTTGCACAATATGGAAGATGTAATCCTGTGCTGCAGACTTGAGGCACTCACAGTAAAGGTTTTGAGGTATTTGCCCAGCAAATCATCCACCACGTGTTGGGGCAGCAGCGGCTCCAGCTGCTTGACGTCACACTCAGGCTGCAGATCAGGATGAGCCATCATGTCACCACTGCCAGAGACAGAACCAGACATCACTTACACTAACACACCACTTACACATGTTTCTGCTCCTCATCAATGTCAAGAGAAATGCTTTGACTCAACGTTAGAGGTTTTATGTTAGATTTATTATAGTATGACAGAATAAAAAAGTGTTTAGTTTGTGTAAATGTGAGTAAATTTAGAATGCGATTAAAGAGTAAGTTTGACCTATATGAGCATTTTAATGGCTGATGCCAATGGCAGGTAATATATAATATAGATATAGATAATGCTTACATGCGGCAACATAAATGTACACAAAATTGACCAAACTTGCACACAGTATTTGATACAATATTAATTTAGTAAAAATTTAAATACTGGAAAATATAAAATATTTATGATTTACTACAAAGCCTGATTTTGGAACTAATTGTCACATTGCTTAACAATTAAGGTACTACACTAGCTTCATTAAAACTTTTTGTTTGTTTGTTATTTCTTCCTTCTGTTTTTGGAAATATGACTAGGATAAGGTAAATCACAAATTATTCATATAACTACAATGCATGTTGTTATTGCTATTAAACTACTAACTAATATTATTACTTAAAAGTAAAACTTTTAAAAGTAAAAAAAATAAATATTTTTTTAATGTACTTTATTTTATTTAAAAACTAGTATTGTTTAAAAAACTGAAATATAAAAAACAGATGAAAAAACAAACTTCAAAACTTGCAAACAGTAAAGTTAGAAATTATGCATCTGCAGTCAAATGGAATAAAGCTAAATAGATTTTTTTTAAATGACAAAACGACTAAATCTTAAACTAAAATGAAAACATAAAAATGAAAGCTAATTCAAAATATGAATAAATACTATAATAGTATACTGTATAAATAATACTAAAATAACTGATAGATGCAAAGAAATAAAAAATGCATAGTTCATAGTGCATCCCAACATGTCCTACAGTCCTTCAGCATGTAAAACAGCAACAAAAAGCAGAGCTGAAGATCTGCAGGCTGCTCTGGTCTCTATCTCCTGCTCTGTTTAGCTCTTCTACACATAAGTCCATTAATCTTCCTGCTCAATCCTGTGAGCGCACGCGATGTGATGGTCTGCTGTGAGTCCATCAGTCAGATTACTGCTCTCGGCTCTGCTTTAAATATTGAGCTAATTGCTCACTGCTGCGCTTTGACAGACTGATCTGCCACTGAGGAATGCCATGCTGAGTTAGAGTAGTAAAGGCAGGATCACAAATGGTAGTTTTCCCTTCAAGCAAATGTTTTCTTTGCATTGGCATGCTGGGGTTGGGTAAATGTTTACCAGTTGCACCCCCCTAAGGACGGCCCTGGCTAATATATTTCTGTCATAATTTCTCAAGTTAAATCAAACTTTTATTTTGACGGGTTGTAACGTCCAGTGTATTTGACATTCTTTTTCTCAAATAGGAAATGTTTATTTACGTTTTCTCTCAGAGCAGCTCTGCTGATGTTCATGTTTATGTAACTTAAGACGCTGAAAACACCATTTATGTATGTGTACTTCAGTATGTAGTAGATAAAACGGCGCCACTCAGAGACATGCAGAAACAAGCAGATTATTTATATAGCGTCTCTTTGCGCATAAATATTCACAGACACATATCATATCTACTTTTGATTTATCCATCCATCAGATTGCACGTTTTACGTGACATCCTTGTTATACTGTAAATTCCATGTTCACAACTGTACCGGGATTCCCTATGCTTCACGGAAATCAAAAATTATTAATGCAACACACCTTTATCTGCATGGAGGGATGGTGTCCACGAACATGTTGGATGTATTGCCTGCTTTTGCAGCCACTTTGTGTCCACATTTCTTGCAAATTGGATCCATCCTCAAGGACAACCCTGCATTCGTTTATATATATATATATATATATATCTGAACTATTCCCATACTGCAGATTTTAACCTTTTTTTCGGTGGGGACGGAGATTAGATCTCTGTCTCTGTAATTTTCTCCGCTGCACGTACGTGTAAGCAGCCAAGTGAATGCAGAGTGAAGCTGCCGAGCGGGTGAGATTTTTTTTTTTTTAAACTGTAGATATGCAAATGTTTACGGTATGATAACCGTGCACGCTCTAATCGCGATATACCGGCACACCGGTATATCGCTACAACCCTAAATGAGAATATGCAATTAACTGAAAAACAGATCCCATTTTAAATTATTAATAATTTTCATTTTCATGAATGATTATTGCTGTCTATAGCTAATAAATATATAAATAAATGCATGAGTAGTCTTGCGTAGGAGAGGTGGTAACTGAGTTACAAAATGGTTACAAAGAGAGGCTTTTTGGATTTTTGAGTTGAAATCATTAACACCAACTGGATTAAATGAAGAGATGGATCTTGCATGTTTATTGTATAGTAGGCATGACAATTATCTGCCATTGATTAAGATCAGCTGTCAACAATGTTGTTGTTGCTTTTTTGCCTCATGAGCACTGAAGAAAGAATGGGCTGATGCATCTGCTCTTTGGTCTGTTTTTAAGACCTTGCACTTTTGTCACTTTTGCATATGGAAAATAAAAAACTATTTTTTATAGACCTTTTTTTT